TATATATTTTTTGTTCATTAAGTGATTTGCTCCTACTGTCGTTATGTTGGACTTTTTGCCAGCAGTTAAATCTTCTTGCTGTTTTTCCAAAACAAAATAGTTCTTATATTCCTGGCTAAATAAAATGGTTGTTAACTTTTACTGAAGTAAACACTTTTATTTATTTTTTTTTTGTTGGAACCGGTTGTAATACTACTTTTATTTGAAGAAAAACAAAACAGTGAACAATTGACTCATCTGTGTAGTTTACCTGTCAGAGCCAGGAGAATGCACAGGTAGAGCAGGGGGCGGAGCATGTTGGAAGCTTCCCAAACAGCAAGAGCTGGAAGACACACAATTTAATAAAACAAGATTCTTCTTCTAACAACTTTGTTTAGAATAGAGAAACAAAGCAAACAGACACTTTAAAACAGATTTTCTGTGTAGTTTACCGTCTGCACTTGGAGTGAAGGATGAGGAAGATGAAGGCTTCTACTCGTGATGCTCTCTGATGATCCTGAAGCTGTCAGAGCTGTGTGGAAACCCCTGATCTCTCTCTCTATCTCTGTTTCTTTTTATGCCCATCCTCACTCTGGTCCACACCCAGAAAAAAGGGGTGAGGTGGATGTGAGATGAGAACTTCTGTTCTGTGATAAATGACTCTGCAGCATCCTGTTACACATCTGGAATTTAAAACATAAAAGATGTTCATGTTCATAGAAATTTTTCAAATCCAATCTCTGTGTGATCATGAAAACACAAACTTGATAGTGGGAGAAAAGGCTTTTGTTCCTCTGATTCTCTTATTGAACAGAAATATTTCTACAAAGTGAACGAACACGAGTGGTGGGAGGGAAAAGGTGACAAAATAAATCTTAACTAACAGCTCGTTTATTTTCCACACTGAAACTGTAGAGAAAACTGCAAAGTTTGTCACAATAATATTTCTGCTCAGGAGCTGCTGCTGATCCTGTTCAGCATTTCAATATTTTAAATTAAGTGTTTTTCTGGCATTCTGGAGTTTCTGGAGACTGAATGTAAAATAACTTTACATATTTGTGAATGAAACAAGAATTATGACTACTTATGAATAGGGACATTTTATTTTTACTACCAGATTTTCTGGTCCTCGTGTTGTGACTTTTAATCTGGTAGTAAAAATGACCTAATAGAGCATTGCATAAATCACCAGAAAGTATAATTTTCTTGTTTAATTCTTGGGTTTATCGTTATTTCAGAAAATCCACTGCAGGGGAAATCAAGCTGAACTGCAGCCCAGTGGTTTGAACAAACATGGTTGTTCCTGATCAGTTCAGGTGAGTTGCAGGTGTCTAACATCCATGGGAATGTCCGAATGCAGGTTTTCCCATCAGAGAAATGTTGTCATGACAGAATATTCTGTCTCATTCACATTATTCTTTTTTTATAATTATTGAAAATCTATCCATTGACGAATTATCAGGTGTCAGCCGGAAATACTGGTCAGTGGAATTATAAAGTTCAAGAATGTAATCCTATATGTTCTTTGAAAATCTTTAAGGTTTGAACTTTTACTTCTGTTTTCACACCAAATCCTACAAAACCTGTAGTTCCTGTTGTACAAGTCTTCAAGCTCTGTTTTGCCCAATAGTTTTTTACATGTTCGCTTGTTTATCATAGGTTTCTTTTTTAAAAATTCTGACACTAATAACTTTACATTATGTAATAATTTAACAACATGCCACTGAGCACCTTTCTGTAATCACAGTAATAACATTCATATTTTTCGGTACCACTTTACAATGACTCCCTTTATAAATGGCTTATAAATGGTTTATAGATAAGTTATAAATTCATCTACAAACCCTTTATAAATCATTAATAAATGTTTATCATGCATTAATTAAGGACAAGAAAGAAACAAAACTGTTCGGTTTCTTGCCAAATAGTGAGCCAAATCTGTTCACAGACATGTCATCTGGTGCTACAGTATATTAAACATTTCACACTAGGTACCTTATGCGCACAATTATGATTTGGAAACACAAATTTAAGCAATTATTAGTACTGTATTACTTTATTATAAATATCTACAACTAATAAAGGGAGCCTTATTGTATACTATTTATTAATGACTAATAAACATTTTATTAGTCATTAATAAATAGTGTACTGTTTTACACTTTACAATAAGGCTCCCTACTGACATTTATAAATGTTTATTAGTCATTAATAGTGTACTGTTTTACACTACAGTAAAATTCCCTTATGGCATGAATGTTTATTAGTCATTAATAAATAATGTACAATAAGGCTCCCTTTATTAGTTGTAGATATTTATAATAAAGTAATACAGTACTAATAATTGCTTAAATATGTGTTTCCAAATCATAATTGTGTCCATAAGGTACCTAGTGTGAAATGTTTAATATACTGTAGCACCTTTCAGATGACATGTCTGTGAACAGATTTGGCTCACTATTTGGCAATAAACCGGACAGTTTTGTTTATTTTGTTCCCTTAATTAATGCATAATAAACACTTATTAATGATTTATAAAGGGTGTGTAGATGAATTAATAACTTATCTATAAACCAGAGTCTTATTGTAAAGTGGTACCTATTTTTCTAGTAGAACAGAATACTTTCAGTTTAGTTTTGACTTTCCTTTTAACTTTGATATTTCGTACACACTCAGTGTGACAACAGTACTATCAGCCAAAGCAGGGGTTCTCAAATTGGGGTCAGGACCCCAAACTTGGGTCTTGAGAAGAGCTACAAAAAATTAATTATAAATTGCAACCTACAACCCTATTATTTTAAAGTGCTGGTAATGACCCATAGATGCAAACTTTGATGATGACATGAGTAAAGATGACTTGAAAATATTAATACAAAATTAAAAGGTTGTCATGACAGCAAAAATATATGGTAAGAAGACAAAGAGGAACGAGGAGGAGACCCAGACAGGGCATGAAACCACAGAGACAAACGAGCAGCGAAGATGGAAATACTATGTGAAACACAGAACAGACTGAGGAGTACAGGTAGATCGAATAAAAGTACCAAGAAACACAGAGAAGATAAACAAATAAAAAATACAAAAATAAAACGTAAAGCAAACTCAAAAATGGCAAAACAAAATGCTGAAATGTACACATATCATTACTGTTGCAATGAGATCAAAACAAAGGCTATAAATGCATGAAAAGTATTTTTCTTTGTTAAACTTTTTTTTATGTTTAGCTGCCAATAAGGTCATCTGTCAGAACTTGTTTTCATGGGTTGAGATAGGGACTTTGATAATATTTTCAAACTTACTTTTACAGCAGTTTTTCCTTTTTGCACTCATAAGGCTCTATGCACAGATTCCAAAAGATATTTTTTTAATCGGACCACTTATTAAGGATTTAGAGGTTTTTGAAGGCTGAAAATTAGGAAGCAAGTGCTCCATTGACTTCTGTTATTTCATAAAAAAAAAAAATTGCGGAGCTCCATAGTGCGCGTCATAATTTCACAACAATTTTTCAAATCAAAGCAGAAAACAAACTACATAAAACATTAAGACAGATTTATAGGGGGTGCTGAGTATTAAAACGAGCTAAAAATAAATCACAAAAACCACCTGACACACACACTGCTGGCGTCAAGCAGAGCATTTATCGAAGTGCCTGTTTGAGAGCTGAGAAGTTCAGAAACACAGAACAAAAGAAGTTTAGCTCATGTTTAGGAAATGTTAGAGCAGCTGCTGATGGTGAGAAACTTCTTAAACTGATCTGATTCCAATACAGTTTACTGACATTTAATACAAACATTCCAGGTCACAAACTGTCCTTATTCAACCTGGAGCTGGGAAACTGTTCCTCACAATGTTTGTTTCCTGTCTGACTCTTTCTAGACTCACAGCTTGAATTACAAACCAGGTCATAATGTCAGGAAAATCTACAAATTTGCATGCAAAGATTTTTACTTGGATAAACTTTCTCTTTTCTGTTTTAAGCTACATGATCTCAAACTGAACCCAGAAATTCGATTGCCAAATTACAAGCAAAGAGGACAGGTTTCAGCAGATGAAAAACTCGTAGCTGGCAAAATATTTTAAAATCAAACTGCTGCATTTGTAGGAAATAAACAAACTCAAATGTTTTTTATTTTATTTTTTTTTGTATTCATTTAGTGGTGATTGCGGCGGCACGGTGGCTCAGTTGGTAGAGCTGATGCCTCTCAGCAAGAAGGTCACCGGTTCAAATCCCGGTCCGGGGAC